TATTTTACCCTTACGATATAAACCATCTTGATAGATGTTGATGTAACTGATCCATGACCAGTGTAGCATGCATTTAAATTTTTTTGTACTTGCTACACTTCCTCAAGAAATACTGATGAATTTGTATACCACTAGGTGTGTTGGGAGTTTGAGGGAGTTAAGGTTTACAGATCAAATCAACAAAGGAAAAACAAACAAAAGCCTCATAGTTTAAATAAGTTGTATCCTTAAACAATGTTTTAAAAAAATAAAGAAAAAATATCAATATTTTTATAAAGCTACAACCAATAAAATATTATTATTACATTATAGAGTATATTTTAAACATTTTTATGGAGTATGAGAAGAAATCAATTCATCAAAATATTGTAATGCTTTGAAAATAGTAGTTACATGGGAAATTAAGAAATATGAAATCTAGGGCCTAAATATGTAGATCACTATTATTAATTAATTACAATAACAAAATATTAAGCTATTTGAAATATATTTGAAAATGGTTAATAAATCAACAAATCTTTGAAAGAAGGATTGTGGCTTAATTATCTGAATATCACCAGGCCACACAAAAGCTACTGTGTGTATAAAATAGTAGTTTTTATGTCATGGGAGAGAAATTTCCAACATATAATATCAGAGTCTTTTATTTAAACAAAGTCTTACAAAATTATTCTATAGGTCAAAACTGATCTTCTTTGTTCTATTTTGTAGGGGATTCAAATCACCTACTATAAATAGGTCTCATTTCCATAGTGTTCTCAATGCAAAGCTTGAGAACTATTTTTCTAGCAAAATAATACTGGTAGTAAAATGCAAATTTATACTAAGTAATAAATGAGCATTCGGTGTTAGTTATGAGGTGAAAGATGAGCTATATACAATGTTTTTTTTTCTAATCACATATTCTTGAATATTGTCTACTAACATATCATTTTTCCTAGTAAATGTTTGGGAGCTGCAGAAACCATATATAAATATATATATATATAAAACAATGATCTTCAAAGTGGAGTGTATACAACATAAGAAAGTTGAAAGATGACTAGTTGTGGGAGGGCAATGCTAGGATGTCATTCATAGTTCTTATAGTCAAAAAAGGAATCATATTATATTTTATAAATCTTTAATATATGGGCCGATTTTGGAGACCTGCTTTCATCTGTATGTTATTGGGCATGAAGGTATCATAAGAAAATGGGAGTTTAACAATAGGGGGGGATCCACATTAGTAACCTTAGTCTTTTGTTCACTTTTATCTATGCAAAGGGGTTAACAACAGTGTGTACCTCAACAAAAACGATTGTTGTGAAGACTAAATAAAAATAATTTGTATTTGTAAAAGATTTAGAATAAAATATTGTTCATAATAAGCCTGGTGCAGAATATAATGTTTTTGTTATATAAAATGATAATGATGATCTTGATAACAATAAGTTTTGACATGGTGTTCAATTTTGCAATTTGCTTTTCTCAGTTCTGTTCTAAGGGCACAGGTTATATCATTGACCTAAACCCACACAAAAAAGCTTGCCTGCTGGGGGTCTAGAATCAATTGGATGGAGACAGACAATGAAAAATTAAGAATGCTAACAATGTAAACTGTGTAACGTATAAGGTGGTAAGTGCTATTGGAAAAGGTAAAATGGCAGAGCACCGCCTTAAGGGATGGGGAAAGCTAAGGATGAAGGGCAGTGCACAAAGGGAAGGCTGGTTACAGCCATCAACAGGGCGGTCAGAGGGCTCGCTGAGGCGGGTTATGAGCAAAGTAAGTGTTGAGGAAGCAGACATGGTTATATAACATGATCTAGCGAAGGACAGTTCCAGGGAAAAGCCATCCAAAAGGCAGAAGTGTAGCTCCTTGGATGAATAGCAAGAAGGCCGAGAGCATCTGGATTGGAAACGGGAAGGGGAAAGAAGGTGAGGTGGTGGGAGAAAGCTGCCTGCAGAGTGACAGGTCAGGTGGGGCGTGGTTGTCATTATAAGGACTGTGAGCTTTCACTCTGAGGGAAATGAGAAGACTCTGCAGTGTTTTGAGCACGTTAGTGTCATGCTCTGTCTAACGCTAACAACAAAGAAACCACTCTAACAAATCTGTTGAGAAAGTTGATGAGTATAAATTAGAAGTTAGAAACCATGTGATGAGGTTAGAGAGGATAGAGGCTCTGTTCACGGTGGTAGCAGGGGAGGTGCTGCAAAGAGGTCAACATCGAGAAGGCGGATGCAATCGTGTTTCCTCGGGTATGAGAGGAAGAAGGCAGTCACGGATAAGATTTTTGCAATTCTTTTCGTAAGATATGGAGAAACATTTTAACTATTTTATAACACAGAGGCTTACAGGTTTAACTGTGGCAAGAAAAATTTTAAGAATGTCAAAAATAGTGTCTTTCTCTTTTATAAAAGCTAATGGTCTAAATTTACTGATCATTTAAAGTAATTTCCAGTGTATACTCACAGACATTTTGTAAAATCCATCGCATGTAGTTTACCCCTTTCAAAGTTGATGATTTAAGTAGGAAAATATCTGTTTTTTGGCTGAAAATTGGTTTATGGGAAAATAATCCTAAAGAAGTTTATTTAGAAATATTTCCCTCATTGTGATATGATGTTGTTGCTGAAAACCATGTGAACATTCCCTCTGTAAAATGTGGTATATCTACACACTTGAAAACTTGTAAACATATTTTTTCCTGAGAGTTAAATATTTTCCAAATAAAACACGAGTATGTCGTACTACTTTTCCTCAATTTTCAGTTCTGGTGGGCTTTTATAACCGAACACCAAAATAAACTGAATTAAATACCAAACCTTTGAAATGCTGAAACACAAAAGTTTCAAAGATTTTGGAGATCATTGAACATTTTCTTTTTAATTCTGAAGTTATTTTGAAAATTGATATTTTCCTGTTTTAAATACATATATCTTACTCTGTTTGAAGGTAATTAATCATGGACTGCCCTCTGAAACCTCCTGGAACATATTCTCATGCTAACTTTAAAAAAGTGTCTGTCTTCCCATTTATAAAAATATTAATACTTTAAGGCTCAACTACAGGATCACCTCCCCCCCTTTACCCCTTATCCTGGATTGTGCTTTTTCCTCTGAGATGTCATGGCGTTTGGTCCTTATTTTTATTTTATGACATGAATCAAGTTATTTTAAGTCCTTTTAACCTCCAGCCTATAAATTCTTCAAGGACAAAAACTGTGTTCATTTACTTTCTCTTCTAAGTCTGAGTTTCATCACTTGATAAATAAGGGTGTTGCATCTCTAACTTTGAAACACTGTGGCACTAATTGTCATGAAAATTAGTTTTTCTACCAGCAGTAGTAGTGTTTCTGCAGTGCTTAATATTTACCAGGCTTACCCTAAGCACTTTATATTTACTGCCTCAACTATTATTCACAACAACCCTTTGAAGTAGGTGTTATCATTGTCTTAGTTTTATTTATAGAGGAAACTGAGCCACAGAAAAGCTTAGTAACTCTTCAAGGTGTTCATTATTATTAATATTATTATTATTACTATTTTAATATAAGTAAAGATGCTAAGATTTGAAGTCAGCTTCAGAATACATGCTTATGAACATGGTGCATAAAGCCTCTCAATGTTTCTCCCCTAGAATTGCATTGCTTGTATAATGATACTGGATATATTTGAGTCCCATGATTTTCCATACTCCAAAAGAGAAAACAAACGATCAAATGAAAGGACGTTTTTTATACATGAAGCATAAATAGGAGGGGAACATATTCACACATCATGGTCAGGAATGAAACTATCAACTAGGAGGGATGAATGAAATGCAAAATCTTTCTCAGAGATCATTCATCATATTAGTCTTTACCATGTATCAACTAGCATATGCCATGTAACCACCCTTAACCTCTAGAGAGGCTGGGAAACTTAGTACTTGTCAAAGGGGAATGGAATAGTCACTGGTGCTTGCCAAGTGATAGCCAAGTGGGCTAGCTTCCCTGAGAACATCACTGCTTGTTTGATACCAAAACAATATCATGGCTCTGTTAGCCAGGAAGGAAAGGGATGTGGACACTGATGCAGTAATGTGCAAATAGTTTTTTTCAGATAATAATTACTTCAGTAATCCAAGAATACTGAGTATTTTAAATAGATAGAATATGCAGGGCAAGGCTTTAGAAAAGAAGTCTTTTGTAAGACTAAATTGCCAATATATTAGTTAAAATATGAATCTCCATATGCTCAACCACAACTGTAGCTTACCCGTAACTAAACCCACTGAGAAGAAAGGCGTTGAATATTGAATAAAGGCTGTTTTATTGAATACAATTTGTTTTATGTTATAAAATTTATATATGCAACTACTACAGGAAATTACTTTAAAGAGGTGTTAGCTTGGGAAATAAATAGCTTAAATTAAGGTGAGTGAAATAACTGCCTGAAAGCAATTTGTTTTATGGGAGTTTTATTTTAAATAAATGCTAAATGTTATAAATATTAGCAGAAAAACACATTTACCATACGTGTATGGTACAAAAAATTTGCTTATTCTCCTTTTTGTGGTTTTAGATCTCTCATTAAGGAAACTAAATTAGGTAATCGGTTACTAGAGTTACAACCACCTATCAAATCATTGGCGTCTTAGTATTATAGGCGGTGAAATCCCATAACCAGCATTGGGAGGGAAAAACCTAATAGTATAAATATAGTTCTCACCTGAATTCAACAATTGATTAAAATGCACATGTTAATCACTTACACCATGAGTTTCTAAATAGCTTCTTCATGACACACAATTTGCATAGGTAATGACTGAACATAAGACTTTATAAAATGATGCAAAGACGTGTTTGAGTCTCATATTTCCAAATTAATCAAATGAGAGTTTAGAAAATTAGATAATTGGAAACATATATTTTTTTAAATCTGACATCTAAATTCTTGGGTTGTTCCGTAATTTCTGGTGTCGTTTTAAACTAATTTTTCAGTCTGAAAAAAATGTTTTCAACTCCCGTTTGTCACAGGCAGTAAGCACAGACCCGGTCCCGGTTAAATTGCACTACGACAAATCACATGATCAGGTCTGGGTGCTAAGCTGGGGTACCATGGAAAAGACTTCTCCAACCCTACAGGTAAGTACATTTCAGTGTATCTGAAAAAATAATGGTCTTTAAATCTTTATATATCTCATTAAATATTTATAACCACTTAACAATGATATTCTTATACCTGAAGACTGTACTTTAATAATATCTAGATCTGCTCAGGAAAAGGAAAAAATGAGGTGATACTCAGTGCATTTTGGATTGGAAACTATTGTAGGTCATATTTAACAAGGGTTGTTCTTAATATACTAAAAGAATAAGCCCCGATTACAAAGCCAATGCTTGTAGAAAAAAATAAAGTCAAAATGTGCCTTTCAGTAGTCTCCTGCCTCCCTCCAATTTTCATAAAAATTTTATTATTTCCATTTCTCTTTCAAAATGGGTCTGGAGGGTGGGGATTGTGAGATAGAGACCAGAAGAGTTAGACAAAGTCATAAAGCAGATCTCCATTTTTCTCTAAACAGATAACATTTTGTTATCTGAGCACAGACTGATTTCTAATTGGGAAATATGCAGTGTCATTTTTGTGGAACTTGCTTATGTCTTAAAGTTGTTAATATGAGAACTTGATATATACAGAAAAAAATATACAGTATACTATTTGACAATGATTCTTTTGCACAGACTTTTGATTTTTGGAATTATAAGTTTAAGAGGAAACACAGGGAATGGGAAGGAGCATTTGGCCCTGGAAACATGTTTTATCTACTTTTCAAACTGCCTTGTGATTACAGCATTGCCTTGAATATGTCTCACCTTACAAAGTCCTAAATCATTAACCTCTGGCCAGTTTTCAATAAATCTGTTGAATGCAATGTTATTTTCAATCAATTCTCACTACCAAAACTTTTACTGTTTTTGAAATATTTTCAGTATTGCAATATTTAACTTACAAAGGACAAGTCTATTGACATGAAATCTTTTAAAGTCACAATCAGGATGATGGTTCATTTGGCCAGTGTCCTTTACTCAGAAAGACCTGACTCTGCAGAAATATCAAAATATTCATGGATAATTGTCTTCTAACAGGACTATTAGGAAACATTCCCAAAGAAAATGGGATTTAAGATTTGTTTAAAAAAGAAAACAGATTTTCCTTTGGAGAAATTGAATTCTCCAAACGAAAAACATAGACCTGCTCTCATTTTTGCTAGAGTATCTTTGTACCATAATGTTGTAAGATTAAACCAGAAAGAGATTGATGCCAGGTTGTGAAGGCTTGGAAGTAACGTTTTTGTCCTAGTGCAGTATATCTTATAATGGAGCCCACTGACCCCTGAAGGTACAAAAGCATTTTATCAAGGACCTGAGAGCCTTACTTATACTCCTTTGTGTTTTCATTTTGATTATAATTAAATCTATACATCTTTGCCAATTATGACAGCAAAATATATCATTTTCTGTATATTTACAATGAGTTAATAAAAAGCCAGGAACTGTAATTTTAGGAATGTAAGACAGTGATTTTTTCCAAATAGTGTTCTCACATGAATTCTCAAAGATTTATCATAGTTATTCTTTTTTCCTTTGGAAAGACAACATGCCTGATGAAAATTTAAGAAATGTTGTTTTAAAAATCATGAGTCTGTCATCTTGTCAGTTTTACAATGTGTATGTAATATCTTTTCAAATGCACAACATTTACAGAAGAAAATATCTCCAGGAAATAACTTGTGAAAACGTCCTTATATTTTGCTATTCATCAGGAAGTAGGCCCCAGCCAGATGCGGTGACAGTGGGAGGTTGTGGCTCTGGGTTTGTGGAAGGCATCACATGTAGAGAGACCAATGGCAGGATGCAATTAGGAATGAGACACGGTTGTTGAAAGATCGGGCATATTGATTAAGGTGCATCATAGATCAATATGTGTGTCCTTGCAATTAGTCCGCTCAGTCCTGAACCTGGCAATCCATCACTTCCTGCTCAATTCCAGCAGTGAAAAGGATCCAGACCATCAGGGAACACAGTCTAGACAGAGTGGACCTAGGGAAATGACATTGTGTTTTTTACAACCTAGGATTATGCCAAGCACAAACAAGATGCACAGTTAATATACCTTCGGTGTCATGACATATTTTTGCATCAGTGACGTGGAGATGCAATATGTACATGATAGCGTTGTTTGAATATTAAATTTTGTGATGGCCTGCAATCTACTTAGAACACATATTGCCACATAGAATGCTCCCAGGAAACATTATTGTACTGTCAGCTTACGTATCATTATTAAATTCAAATACATGTACATGTGTTTTGAGAGTGTATAGAATCCAAAGAGAAGAAAATCTGGATAGTTCCTTCCCTATTACTCTTTATTAAAGTCTTTTAGACATTACTATGAGTGGCTAAAATCCAGTGCTGACTTTCTCACTGATATTCATTAATAAAGTAGGTATAGTGTCTTTAAGGTTTTTACCACATCCTTTGGTTTTCTCTTCCTCTGGGCAAATGCCAAGCTCCTTTTAGTTAAGTGGAGCCATATGATTAGCTCTGGCAACTGAGATCTGTTTTGAATGGCAACATTGAAGGCAGTTGGCTGCCCCTTCAGTGGGGAAGACAGAACACTGAAATTGAGGGAAAATAGTAGATACCCTGCCAAATTCCTCAGGCCAAGTAACACATGTGAAAGGAAGTCTTTATTTTCTAAGCCACTAAGAAAGACTTTAAGGTGTGTTTCTTGTTTTTTTGTGTGTGTTTTTTTTTAACTGTAACGTAACTGAGCCTATCCTGATTTCATACAATTAGTCTATTTTCACTGAACATGGCAATTTTCAATGGAACTCAATGAAAATATATTCATTTGAATGAAGAAAAAAATGAACCTTTCAGAAAAAAATATTAAAATTAAAATGCTATTCACTTCTGTCATAAAAAACAAAGGAAGATATTGTTTGGAAGGAGGAAAGTCTATTTGACTTAGTCAGTAGTTTAGTAACTTTAATTTAGGGGTCATATATACAGAGGTTTTAAAAGGTGGAGACACATTTAATTCTTAATACTGAATCTGGAGTATATTCCCTACACATCTGTAACAAGGGGATTTTAACATATCCTAAATTTGGTCAAGGACAATAAATTATATTAGTGTGGCAATGGTATTCCATTTGTAAATAAAAATTAAAGATGATTAAAAAAATTAATAAGATAAAAACTAAATAGCAGGGATAAGAAAGTGCTTTGAAAAGCTAACAGAACAATTGCTGTGTAGCACTGACAATAGAAAAAAACAACACGGTGGTATGAAAAATCTGAAAGAACTGCTAGAATTTTGGGCATAATGTGATATAAGGAATAAAAGAGTTTAAATGCAGTTATCTTTTCTTTAATGGACTATAAAAGTTTTAAAAGCCAATTACTGATGAATAGTTGGAAAAAAGAAACCTCTGATTTAAACTTACTTAAATCTGGGGGTCATTGTTTTAATCTGTTAAGATTTTGCTTCCCGGCATTGTCTTCAGCAGTTTGGCTCAAAGAAACTCATTAAAATTCGGATATAAAAAAAAAAAAATTTTTAAAAACCAAAAAAAATCTTACTTAAATCTGTCATTTTCAATTTATAAGGGGAATACATTTTTAAATATTTTATCAATTCTAGGCTATCTGAAATCTAATATATTTTATAAGATTTATTTTGAAGTTTTCAGTGCTGTTTCCCACTCTGTTCCATAGGAGGGGCAGTTTTTTTTTTGTATATCAATTATACTGCAATAAATCTGTCTAAAAAAAAGAAAAAGAAAAAAAGAAAGCTAATATCTCACTTACATAGGTATGCTTTCTTTTATTTTTTCCCATTATAGCAAACTTAAAGTTTTTGTAATACAGAAGTTGTTTATATGTATATTTATATGTGTATGAAGCAGAAATTATTCAAAAGAAATATTTTTGTATTTTTTGTTCCTTTATAGAAACAAAAGTTTCTACATTGAAAATAAGCAATGATAGAATCTCAGTTTGCTTATTAATATACTAATTTTGAGGATGGCAAGAAAGAGTGTGCCAATAACTGCCAGAAATTTATTTCATCCCTAAATAAAATGATACTAGTCAGGGATTGCATTACCAAGAGCTAAACATGGTGTGTTCTGTGTAGGTAATAACCCTGGCCAGTGGGAACGTGCCACACCACACGATCCACACCCAGCCGGTGGGAAAGCAGTTTGACCGAGTGGATGACTTTTTCATTCCCACTACAACACTCCTCATCACCCACATGAGGTAAGTGCTAAAATGAGCGATCAATCAGCTTTTAGATTTCTCTCTAATTTTGAATAGAAACCCATGGGAAATCATACAAAATTTCAATTAATACAAATAATACACACAGAAGGGCACATGATTTAGGTGTTTCTCATCTGCCTGAAGAATTTTTATTTATCAACAGTAGCAGTGAATTTCCTGTGATATATTTCTTAAGCCTAATACAGCAGTGAATTTATGAAGATACAGTTGTCTATTTGTAGTCAATGTTACAGTTAATATTTTTGCCAGTACTTATAAGGATCTTCTTATTAGGCTTTTGCAAAATGCTAACACTTGAACTTGGCATCATGAAAGAGCCACTCTCACAGAGCTCTATTCAATATATTGCAATAACTTTCTTCTATCATTTTCACCCACTTAGAAATTAATATAAAACTGTATTAGTAAGTATAATAAGTTGAAATAAAGTGTTTGAGGCCTTTGTTTGAGAAAACATGTTGGCGTGTTTTATCTGTATATTTACAAGAGGTGAAAAGGTAATACCTTTTAATGACATCACTCCAGCTTCACAGAAGCATTTTAAATGCTTAAAAGGGAGAGACTTCGGATATATCACAGTTTCTAGTATTATGTATCTCGGTAATTTATTTCAAAAAAATGTGTAAGTGTGGCTTAACAATGTTAGAGAGTCTGAACCAAACTAATATTTTGTTCTGATTCTCAAGTGAATTCTGATGAGGAGAACTTCTCCAGATGTCATGTGAGCCATGATTTGATACTTTTGTATGTCTGTTTCCGTTGTTGAAATTGAAAATTATCTCATCTAAAGTTGGAGTTGTAAGAATTCTGAAAGAGTGCAGAATTCGACTAGCAAAAATAAAAAGAGGATTGATAAATCAGAATTGTGTCTCACAAAGACATTACATACTATAAACTGATTTTTGTGCAGCCAAGTGTTTGTTTTCAAAAAGTTTTATACATTTCTCAAGCAATTCAGCATTATTTTTAGAATGCTTATTATGTATTCAGCCATAAAGTGATTAAAAAACATAATGTCTTCTCACAATTATTACATGTTTTTGTTTTGTGGAAAATAGGTAGAATTTAATAAAAATGCAGCATATTACAAAGTATATAATTTGCATCAAAGTAATAATTTTTAAATCTGACTGCAAGCACTATAATAGTTCAGAGACTGCAGAAAAGAGAGTATGATCTGGAAATGGTACTATTTGAGATTTACCTAAAAATATGTTTTTTTACTTATTTAATGAAGATAACATTTTATTTAATCAGGATTAACTATTATGATTAATAATGTTCCTTTGATGTTTTCATATTTTTTTATAAATTATTACTAATCAATAATTTAATATGTAACACTTGCTTTTATTTATTCCATTCTCTTATTCCCTATTACTGTATTTAATATACTGTTACCAATTTTGCTTTTATAAAAAATACACTATTAGTACAATTACTTAGGGCAAAATTCTCATCGTTATGACACCAATAGGGTGAACATTGTATAGTTTTGGGTATTTCTTTTCTCCTACAACAAGTAAATCCATTATGTAAAATAGCTACCAAGGGCAGGACAATAAGTGCTTTGTATAATTCTGTGTCTGTATGTGTAATTGAGATACTTTCAAAACGTATCTCTTTAGGGTCAAAATGATTATTAAGTAGATGGAGTTGGAGCTAATAATAATTAGAACTTCCACATCATGTGAACACATATAAGGCGATATTTTATTTGTTATTTCTATTTCTATATATTATGCAAAACACTGAAAAGCATGCTTGAGTATATTTTTAACTGCCTTTATTTCTTTTAGGCATGCATAGTGAAATGCATGATTGTTTTGCCAATACTTGTAAGAACACTAAATTAAATTTTAGTAATCCTACCTGCATGCATATAGATCCCATTTAATGAACATGATTGATCATCAAATTTCCTATTGCACTTCAAAGTAATTACTCCTATTACTAACATGAAGAGTAAGTATAAAAATTAGCATGCACTTACAAAAATAAACTGTTATACATGTAAAGTATTTTCAACATAATGAGGATTGATTCCACATTAGAAAATTCTGAGGGATAGGTATGATCTTTCCTTCTACCAATTTCATGTACCATATTTTTCTAACCACATTTTGCTTGTGTTTAAATATGTGTTGCTGACACTAATCTTTTTATGAAATTGTTTTTCAGAATTTGAGACTGTTTTCTGACTTCTAGGCTTTGTATATATTTGTAGTCCAGACAGAAGGCCTAACACATAATATGTGTTTAATTAATATTAGTTTTCTTCCTCCAACCCCTCTTTCCATCAATCTGCCTTTCTCTCAGATTGCTGTACCCTCGTTTCAAATAATTTATCTCCAATGTCTGAAGAGCTCCTGGACAAGTGTCAGGATTTTATATCCTCAGTGTCTTAAAAACCTGTAGTCACTTAATTCATGTTTCTCATAGGAATGGAAATAAAGAAGGAAGAAAGTGCTCTACTATTTCCTAAACCAGGCTATATAGGACTGAGAGAAGAGCTGTATTTCTTATATATCGTACTACATTTCTCAACATCTAACACAATAGCCGACATACAGCAAGCACTGCATCAGGAACCCATGAATTGTGTGGAAGCAGGGAATAGCAGTAATAAGGACTTACATCTTCTGTCAGACAGATGTTAGCCTGAATGTCCCAGCAACACTATTCGTCATTGGTCATTATGACTTTAGCTAGTTTACTTCATTTCTTTCTGAGGATTGGAATAAAATAATATTGAATATTAAGTAACCCATAATAGTTGTTGTCCACACTGCTCATATATCTATTTGGGTCCCCTGATATTAGTTACAATTTTACTATAAGTCTCTATTTTTCCCTGTTTGATTTCTTCTAATTTTTTTTCTCTCTCTCTCTTTTTTTTTTTTCTGTATCTATAATTCTCAGGCTGATTGAATCTAGTCTGTAAAATAAATCAATACTTGAGGAATGTAACAGAACCAAAATTACTTTATAAACCTATATTAAAAGATAAACTGGTAGTTTGAAAAAAACTTAATCTTCACAAAATTTGGGAAGTTGTTCACTGTTTAAGACAGTTTGAATTTCTCAGCACTTAAAAAATCCTGGAGAGCCTAATTTGGGTCCTTTTAGAATGGCCTCAAAAATTTAAATTTCAACAAACTAATTTCCATTTAAAAAATATCTGAGAATGAGGGCCTGCCTGGTACTATCCACTCATTCAGCTCCTCAAATGAATTCCTCCAATTCCCTGAGCCACAGCCTAAGCTATATGTAAGGATTCCTATCTTATTCTATAGATATTAGTAAAACTATCCTCTTTGGTTTTACCTGTATGTTCCTTCTCCATGTAAATTGGATTACCTAAGCCCTAGGCTGGGGATGAACCAGATGCACAATGCCACAATACATTTGACCTATATTAAAATGGTTTTTAAACTGTTGAGGTCTGGATATTGGCCCTAATTTGTGTCCTTGCCTTCCCCTTTCTTGAATATAAGTGCTTGTCCAGGAGATAATGCAGAAAACCTTCAGACCAACATGAAACCATTCTTTATTTTTTTAAATTAAATTTATTGGGGTGACAATTGTGAGTAAAGTTACATAGGTTTCAGGTGTACAATTCTGTTAATACATCATCTATATATCACATTGTGGTTCACCACCCAGAGTCAGCTCTCCTTCCATCACCATATATTTGACCCCCTTACCCTCTTCTTTACTCCCCCTCCCCCTTTACCCTCTGGTAACCACTAAACTATTGTCTGTGTCTATGAGTTTTTATTTCTTTATTTGTTTGTCTTGTTCCTTTGTTGTTTTCAGTTTTATATCTATCATTGAAGTCACATGGTTCTCGAGTTTTTTCATTTGACTCATTTCACTTAGCATAATAATCTCAAGATCCATCCATGATGTTGCAAATGGTACTATTTCATCCTTTCTCATGGCAGAGTAATATTCCCTTGTGTATACATACCACATCTTTTTTATCCAATCATCTATCAAAGGACACTTTTGTTGTTTCCATGTTTTGGTCACCATAAATAAAGCTGTAGAACATTTTTGACAACAGAGCCAAAATTATACAATGGAGAAAACAAAGCCTCTTCAATAAATGGTGTTGGGAGAATTGGAAAGCCACATGCAAAAGAATGAAACTAGACTGTTATCTGTCACCATGTACTAAAATTAACTGAAGATGGATCAAAGACCTATGCATAAGACCTGAAACAATAAAGTGCTTAGAAGAAAACATAGGTTCTAAACTTATGGACCTTGGGTTCAAAGAGGAGTTTATGAATTTACCCTCAGAGGCAAAAGAAGTAAAATCTAAAATGAATGAATGGGATTATATCAAACTAAAAAGCTTCTGCACAGCAAAAGAAACCCTCGACAAAACGAAGAGGCAACCAATCGAATGGGAAAAGATATTTGCAAACAATGTCTCCAATAAGGGGCTAATATCCAAAATATATAAGTCATTCATGCAACACAACAACAAGAGAAAAACAAACAATCCAGTTGAAAAAAAAAAAATGGGCAGAGGACCTGAACAGACATGTCTCCAAAGAGGACAAACAGATGGCCAAAAGACATATGAAAAGATGGTTAACATCACTAATCATCAGGAAATGAAAATAAAAACCACAATGAGATATCATCTCACACCTGTTAAAATGGCTATTATCGGGCCGGCCGAGTGGTGCGATGGTTGAGAACTGGCTTGGGACGCCAGAGGGCCCTGGTTCGGATCCCACCTATGAGGGCCAGTGACACTGCCCTCTACAGCTAAGATGCTGAACAACAACTCCACCTGGAGCTGGGCTGCCATGGCAACAGCATAGGCTGCAGCCTCTGTGGCAGTGGGTTGCCATGGGCTACCATGTGTAGCCAGCAGCCAGCGTGAGCAGCCATCCAGAATCCGGCGACTGATGTGCCTCACCCGGGAAGAGTGCAATGATGGTGCCAACTTGGGCCAG